CATCCAGGAATCCGTTCCAAGAGTTCCATGCCTGTTTCCAATACAGCTCGACGAGCTCTATCCAATGGCATCGTCAGATTTCCGATACATCAAAGTATGATTTTCTGATTTTTCTGTGACGCCTTCTATCAGCTCGAAAATCATACTTTGATGTATAGGAAATCTGAGGATGCCATCGGATAGAGCTCGTCGAGCTGTACTTGAAACAGGCATGGAGCTCTTGGAATGAACTCCTGGACGAATATGGATAACTTTTACTCGAATATGATGCTAGAATTTTATTAACAAAGTACAGTATTTTGAGGTTTTCGGAACAATAGGCTGGACTATGAAAATGTGATTGTACCATTGAGTAGAGCTCGTGAAGATCTACTTGGAAGGCTGGTTGAGAGTTTTGGAACGCGCTTCTAGACGAATATGGGCAAGTTTTAGTCGAATATGGTGGTAACTTCACCTACGTCGGTCACATTCTGCTCATCTCAGGTCGATCATTTCGACCGGCTGAAACGACGTCTTAAACTGCCTAAAACGGTGAAAAAACAGCGTGATTACTACCCTAAACGATGAAAAACGACCGCCGTTTTCCTCGGAACGTAAACGATTACACCTATTTTCCTTGTTTACGACTTTATTTATCTTTTGCCGTCTAACGTCAGTGAAGAGGAGCACGATATTTCGTCCCCTTCTCACCTTTCGTAGACACAAGAAACAGTATTTATTTATTTGAATAAAATACCCTCTAATGTATATTTCATTGAGATAAATCTAAATAAAAAAAATAAATTACTGTTAGATATTTCAATGAAAATCTAAATGAAAAAAAAATACTTATTTAAATAGAATACTTACTATTGAATATATTAAGGATATCAATATAATTTTAAAAAAACTTTATGTACATAGATAAAATACTTACTGTTAAATACTTAATTGAGATAAATCTAAACAAAACAAAATAAACAAATATATTTACTTAAATAGAGTACTTACTGTTGAATATTTTAATGAGAAAAGTCTTTAAAAAAATTAATATATCTAAACAAAATAGTTGCTGTTGAATATATCAATGAGATAAATCTAAAAATATATTTATTCAAATACAATACTTACGATTGAACTAGATGGTGAAAGGAATCTGGATTAAAAAAGACGATTTTTTTTCAGTAGATAATGACCAATGAATTGTAGATTATTAGGAAGTCCCTAGCGATGAAAAATGGTGTGAAAACGATGAAAAACGACGGTCGTAATGATAATCGTTTCCGCTAGTACACAAACAATCACCGTACAGGTCATCGCTTATCGCCGTATTTCTCCGTTTAACGGCAGATCGTAAACAACTCTCGTAACAACAGCCGTTTTTCACCGTTTTCAAGTCATTTAAGGCAGTTTACGAGCCGTTTTATACGACATGGGATGTCTAGATTTCATGTATTTCGAAGCTGATGAGTATGCCGGAAAATTAAAAGCAAACTCATGAAACATTACATTAATGTTGAATTTTTCTCCAAGACATACAAACCTTGTACTGTGTAGAATGTATCACATATTCTGTTTCACGCTACATTAAACAGTGAAAAACAACCCAGGTGATATAATGAAGGATACAATATTAAAGTGGATGAGATAAACCAATGATAAGGATAAAGGGAAGAATAGCGTCATAGAATGACATCTGTTAAGGGTAACAGACTGGAAATCATCATGAAAAACTGAATTAAATTGAATGATCGCATCTAATTCACTGACGAGGGAACATATTCAACTGCCAAATCGCTTTTGAATCGAGCGTGTGCGCAAACGATAGATCTCAGTGAGTTATTAAATGCCTTAGAATGGTTTGGTTTTCCAGCATTCTGTTATCAAGTTATGAGCTTTTTACTTGATTTTGGCTTATGGGCATAAGATTCTTCTGAGTACCTGAATAATCGAATTTCAAACTGAAATTTTGCCCATAGATAGACCTTATAAGCACTAGAAACACTCCAAAGTTTGAGCCAGAATGAATGTATCCTTATCGAGATATTCGCATTTTAAAGAAACGCCTGTTTTGAGCTGTGTTTCAAAATAGAGACATTTTCATGACGAGCTGATATCTCGATTAGGATGCATTCGTTTTGGCTCAAACTTTGGGGAGTTCCTAGTGCTTATAAGGTCTATCTATGAGCAAAATTTCAGTTTGAAATTCGATTATTCAGGTACTCAGAAGAATCTTATGCTCATAAGCCAAAATCAAGTAAAAAGCCCATAACTTGACAACAGAAGACTGGAAAACCAAACCATTCTAAGGCATTTAATAACTCACTGAAATCTATCGTTTGCGCACATGCCAAATTCAAGAGTATTTTGACAGTTGAATATGTTCCCTCATGAGAAATGGTGCGGTACGAGGAATTTTAACTAAGTAATCATTCATTTTTTAATCTTATCAGTAGGAAAAAAGTGAGAACATAACGTTTTGATCGTGTTTCGGATGCCTTTCTATAATTTCTACCAAACAACTTAGACTTTCTCGAAAACAAGCGACCGATAAATAAAAAAACCTGCGCATATATTTTTATGAAAATATTAAAAAATTCGTACTTGGACCAATATTATCGTGAGCTTTTCGGGAAGCTGTGAGTAATTTATAATCAATATTTTTTTACTAAAAGATGTGCCTTTTATCACTCTACAAAACCATATAAAATTTATCTTGAACTCTTGAAAATTAACTGTATAACAGAAGCAAGAAGAATAAAACACAACATGTAAAATAGATAAAAAAATAGTCGATTTCACTCATTATAATGGATTTTTTCGATTTATGAAGTAGATAATGAACTATATGAAACATAGAGTTTTATAGCGCGGCTTCCACTCCATCGATTGATATAATTTGACAATAAGTTTGATCAAATATTTGCGAGAAAAAATTCATAAACAAAAATGATCGAAGAACCATAGTTGTTGATAAATCGATATTTTGGATGAAAACTATTGAATGGTCAAAGTATTAGAAGACATTATCGAAAAGTTGTCAAAATTTGGATTTCTGAGCCATTTTTTATGTTCTTTCAAACTAACAACCTCATTACGAAAACTAAAATTTTTTGGCAACTTTCTTGGGTGGTGGTGATCTCGTGGACCCTCTCTTAAAAATCGACATTCAACTATTCCATGTCCTCGTATTCTGCAAGAGCGTTCGAACACAGTAAGTAGTACAATATAGCATAAATAATATTTTTTGCATTAGCGATTGGACAAATGTTTTGATGCTTTATAAATGGATAATAAATTTTTCGTTCATTGATAGACTTCCTTATATTGAAATTTGAGAAGTGTAGTCAAGAGAGAAAAAGCGAGATGTCAGTACATCGCAAGACCAAAGCCTTCCTTTTTCTTCCTTGGTTTCTGTTAATTGTTTTTCGTCATATTTCATTCGAATCAACTCGACTGAGAACACAAGTTGTCCTGATCGTTTAGTTGCATCTTTTGCATGCATCCATGTGATCATATTAATTGATGATTTGAAATATCTTGAGACATGTTCTACACTCAAAGTAAACGATTGTTCACCAAATATTAAAGTCCATCTCTTTTGAAATTAATACGATGCAAAATCAGTCTTTGTAAGATTTATTTGTAGAAAAATAAGTTCCAGAATAATCTTCGCCTGATTCGATCGAAAAATAGATGATTCTCAAGGCGTGTATTTAGCCTTCCGGGAAATGATCTCCGGAAAAAATCTAGGCGATTAATTTATTGTTAATTATTATTTTTTAGAAAATTATCATTGTATCGACTTTGATTGAATTTTGAGATCAAAAAGACAGTGTTAGATACTTGAAATAATCGTTCGAACAAAAAGTCGAGATGTGAATCCTGAAAAATGAACACAATCGATGATGAATAATTGATTAGCGTCTGCTCGTACTCCATGTGATGATGCATACGAAAAGATCACATCCATTCTACTTTATATATTCAATGTACAGGAACACATGCAAAACGTCTGCTTCATATCCTTTTTCAATCATTATCGCTCGGAATTTTATTGAACTATTGTTTACATCAAAATCGAAAATTTAATTATAATATACGACATTTTCTAAAAATATTCAATATCTAAGCAAAGACGGCATAGCAATAGAAGTTCGAAATAGATTGAATTTGTTTGGTTGACGTAGATTACTTATCATGCCGCTCGAATGCATCTTGTATAACATAAATGCTATCAGCAAGTAAAACAAAATTTCTCATCACCATATACATTCGAGTCAATGTTTTGAAGAGAGAGAGAAAGAAAGAAAAAGCATTTGTCTTTGCTCATAACAAAGATTAAGTTTGAAATAATGAAAACAAGACCAATAATCTATCGGATAATATCCAACAACGAGAAAGAAAAAGTCAAGATATTTTATCTTATAAACCAGTGTAAAGGTTTAATATGAACGTATCTGCGTTTTTTATCTGTTGGTTTTTGTATGCAGAGATTTGTAGTAGATTAAAAGCATATTGAAACCAGAGTATGCAATTGATTCTGTGAAAACAAAAACCGTTTCGTTTATATACAAATGGTTTTTTTTCTGTATTACTCAAATATCAAATAGCATTTTATGACATATCTCTACTACAAGTTCGACATTTTTATTTCATAATACATTATCTTTTGATGCATTTTTCATCGATAGTTGCGACTTTATGTATAGAATTCTTATTGTTTTAGACTTTGTTTCGTTTAGAATCAGTAACATCAATCATAGAAAATGCAATTATATTTATTAATTGTTTTTACACTTCTGTAGTGTTCATCGATTCAAACTCAGTCAAAGTTAACTATCGATGAATTTTTTGATGCGACTAATTTTCAATCAGTACGTATCTCTCCGAATGGTCGATATTTATTGATATATAGTCAACGTCCAGCATGGGATTCTAACTCTTTCGAGAATAGTTTATGGCTTTATGAAACTTATGGACGACGAAAACAATTGATCACTAAACAATTGTCTGGAATTATGCAACCAAAATGGTCACCAAGTGGAGATTGGTTCGTGTACTTAATCAACGATAAAGCTGCAACCGATTCAACAGATAATCGTCATCGCTTTCGACGTTCAGTCAAGAATCAGACGAAAAACGACCAACAGATTCATCTTCATAGTGTCATTTCAGATGAATTGTTCTCTATTGAAATTGGCAATCAAATTCCGTCGGCTCTAGCATGGTCAGATGTTGATTCGTCGCTCTATTTCGCTGCACAATCATCTCAATCGACCGAAGATGCCAATCTTTTGTATGAAACCAAATGGAAAGATGTCATTGAATATCGTCGACGTGAACCTAGTGATGGTAGTACAATCTATCGTATTGATATAAGCAGAAAAAATCGAAGAGTTATGTGATCATTCAGATATAATACCTTCGATTTGTTCGCATTAAGTCAATCGAACATGTTAAGCAAGAAACTTAAGATTATTTCGTACGGACGTTGTATGTTAGCCTTCATCGTATTCTAGTATTTTTCGAGAAGATGGTTCGAGTTCGAGATATTTGGCTTTGCTTTCAAATGTATAGAATTGATGTTCATTCACTTGATCGATTGACTACATGTATGAAAGAAATATTAGAACAGCTTTTTTTCAGAAGAAAAATTTCTTATTTTACAGATAGAAAATCATTTGTATAGGTATTAGATTCTACGCATCAATTTGGAAACAGAATTGACAACTCCTAGAGCAAAATTTATACAGTTTTTGACGAAATTGAAACATAAACAGGCGGATTTCTGTAGAAATTAATGAGAATGTTAATTTAGTTTTACTCATATTATGACTTACCCGCTTTATTCTCTCCCTTCTCAATGGCATCGACCGTCACTCTTTGATTAATGCCTCCTCCTCTACTCAAAAGTGGTCATGTTATTTTTCGAATGAGTCCACTAGAAAAATTAATACTATCAAGAAACTGAATTTCACAGTTGGTGAACTATTGTTTGTGCCATCTGAACATAAAGTGGTGTGCACATCCATAACGACGATTATCGAAAATATATATGATATCGAAATGTATTCTATTGATTTGTACAATTCATCATCATTAACAAGATTGACGAACAATGAAGGAATCGAACATAATCTACGGCTATCAAGTGATGAGAAACATATATTTTTTCAAGTTTTTCCGATTACATCAAGGAATAGAAAATTCAATAATACACAACCACGATTATGCTCAATTGATTTAACAAATGGACAGATTCAAAATTGGGGAAAAGGTTTCGAAGGGACTGTTAATGATTATGCTATTAGATCCGAAGGTGGTGTTTTTATATTGGGACAATTGGGAACTAATGTGCAAATATACACGCAGCAATCACCATTGAAATATTTGTTTTTGGAACGTAGTTGGAATGGAACTTATCGATCGATCTCTTCATCAACCTCAAAACGATACTCATCACTTGCTTTTCTTTATTCATCTTTTGATCGACCAGAAGAAGTTTATTTTATTGATCATATCGATGAACTTCGTTCGGCAAAAGCAATTACTAATGAAAATCAATTGTTAACGAAAAGAAATCTACCACGAGCTAAATTGTACAAATGGATAAGTAATGATGATGATCGTATGATTGAAGGCATTTTACATTATCCACCAGGAAAATTCGAACGTAAAAATTTGCCTCTTCTCGCTCTCATTCATGGGGGTCCTATTGATGCCAATTTAAATTCTTTTTATCCAGACTGGTACAGTTGGGCACCATTAGCTGCTACAGAAGGCTGGTTAGTATTTGAACCGAACTATCGAGGTTCGACCGGTTATGGTGATCAGTTTCTCAATGATATTACTTTTCAACCGTTGTCTCGACCAGGAAAAGATATCCTTGCTGGTGTCGAATATCTTGTTAAGGATGGCATTGCTGACCCGTCTCGACTTACCATTGGAGGTTATAGTTATGGAGGATTTCTCACGAATTGGTTGATTACACAAACAACACGTTTCAATGCTGCCCTATCTGGTGCAGGAGGAGTTGAGCATGTTTCTGGTTGGGGTACCACAGATTTTCCTATATATGTCAATACTCTATTCGGTGGATTTCCATGGGAAATACCACAAATTTATGCCAAAGAATCAATTATGAATCAGTTAGATAAGGTGCATACACCTACACACATTGTCACTGGCGTAAATGACATTCGAATTCCGCCAGATCAAAGTTTTATTTTAGAACGTAGCTTAAATTATCTAGGAGTACCGGTTAAATTATTACTTTTTCCAAATGAAGGCAACTCGCTGAACAATAACCCTTGGCATGGAAAAATTAAAGTTCGAGAAGAACTCAAATGGTTAGAAAAATATGGTCATATGTCTCAGGTTACAACAACAAACTAGACATATATTCCAATTAGGTGAACGAAAGAGCTCTTAAAAGGAATAACTATGCCATATTTCATAGTTGAACCTATAGAAATCCCACTTGTAGTATTTAATTTTATTTGTTTTTCACGAGAATTAACAATAAATCATTACGATCTTTTGTAGATGCGACATTGTTTTTCATTTTCTAGTCAACTTATCTAATTTCTGTCTGTTTTTTCTTCTTGAACTATATCGTTGCTCTGTCAGTTTTTTTTTGACTACTGAAATCCTTTCCTTTGTTTGCTTTATAATAAGAAAGTCAGTTTTTGAACTGACTAATAATGCATCTGGTTGATAACTATTGTCAAATGATTCAATTAGTAACAATGCGATATGTATGGACGTGTGTAGTTCAGAGTTCGACAGAATATAGAATAGCTTATTAGAGATGATATAAAAACCACTTATTTGAAAAGTTTTCTTTTATTTTAAATTATAATTCTCTCGATAGATCTATATTTACTTCAAACTAATGACGAGGGAACCTTTTCAGTTGTCCTCTTCCAATTTCAATGATTTTTTTTGTCTATAGATACTACGTAGTGGTCTAATAAAAATTCTAAGAAGATTTCGGTTTCTATTGATATTTGATTAACCTATGGAATTTTTAATATATTTATTTTCTAGGAGCTTCAGGTTTTCAGCAAACTCTTATTTTCGAATTTTGATCTGAAACTTTCTTCATATAGAGAACTCAACTAGACTAACTTTCATAAAAAAATTCACAAATTTTGAACAAAGTCTCTTCGAGATGTAAAGTTTTCAAAAAATCCATGCTGTATACACCATCCCTGAAAAAAGGTCTATATTTTGAAAGTCTCGTATCTCGAAGAGACTTTGTTCAAAATTTGTGAATTTTTTTATGAAAGTTAGTCTAGTTGAGTTCTCTATATAAAGAAAGTTTCAGATCAAAATTCGAAAATAAGAGTTTGCTGAAAACCTGAAGCTGCTAGAAAATAAACATATTAAAAATTTCATAGGTTAATCAAATATCAATAGAAACCGAAATCGTCTTAGAGTTTTTATTAGACCATTACATAGTATCTATAGACAAAAAAAAATCATTGAAATTAGAAGGAGGCAACTGAAGAGATTCCCTCGTGAGACAAGAACGTTATCATGATATTAATAGCTACTATTAATGAATTTTGAATGGTCGATCAATGAACTCTTACACAATTCATCTGCTACACCCTTTTCATGTTTTCAATTCTCATCTCTCTTTGTTCATTTTCAAACACAGTAGAGATTTTCGATTAATATTGAAAAGCGATTTTAACACCCTCTATCGACATTATCTTTTACTAATTGTGAATCATATTATTTCACCACGTCTATCTATCTATCGGATGAAGATGACACTCCACGACCAATAGAGTATGTTCTTTTTTCAAGGCTTTATTCGACATCGATTTATTTATTTACAATTATTTTCATTTCATAATCTTGGTTCCATGGACACCATCAACAAAATAATATCGGTATGTTATCATTTACTTAATCTCACTCTTCGAAGCTTCGAATATTCCTGGTTTGAATCTAACACAGAAGACACTTTCTCTTTTAAAAAAAAAAAAAGATATTAGAATTTAACTAAACTCCTATTTTCCGGCTACTCTATCAATTCTCGCATGAGATGTAGATATTGAATAAAAGAATATAAACACTCATACCTGCCTGAGAGATTGTTATTAATTTTATTCACCATAATTGACATTATTTGAAGTGAAATATATTTATTTTAAAAATTTTTCAAAACAAAAAAAGATTTTAAGTTCTTTATGCATGAACATATTGAAATCGTACAGCAAGTACTGATTGTTTGACTTCTTTTTTTTTCTTTTGATATCTCTTCGTTGTTTTTTCTTCGATGAACTTAAATCATTATCAATTGGATATAATATGGAAAAAAAATATTTTAATGCATCCATAATAAGAACAAAACCAATAACAGTTGCAATACATTCAATAACAATACAAGCAAATGAACGTGAAACAATTTCTTTTGTACATAAACTCGAAGATTTTATTTCGCAATATAAGCACCTGAATAAAGTTCAGTATTCGTACATCGACATGACCAATCACTATAGATTGGTATACCTTGACCATTATTTTCACACCTTATATTTGCACATACAGCAACTTCATATTCACAATGATCACCTGTTTTACCTGTAGGACATATACATTAACTTCCATTGCATATACTATTATTAAAGCAACTCGAACTAAGGCGGCATGAACAGTCATCGACTTCACAATTTACACCAGAAAAACCTACAACACATAAACATATATACTCAAGTGGCATATTAACATTTGGATAACATGTTGCTAAGTTTAAGCATGGTTGAACTATAGAATATTGATCCGTAGTTATATTACATGAAACACCGATAACTCCATTACGACATATCGGAGCTACACAAATAGAATTATTTCTAGATGTTGATCTATATAAAGAATATTTTATTAGAATCAAATAATATGCTTCTACAATTTATCTGGAAGAGTTTTTTTTTATGTATTAACATAGAATACTCACACGATTCCTATTGTTGTTATCGTAGTTATAGCTTTAGTTGAATTCACACACAATGTACTTGTTTCTTCTGGACTAGCAGTTGTTGTTACTATATCATAATTCTGCAAATCAATGTTTTCATATTGAATAGAATAGTCTATAAATGAAGTAGGCAATGGATCTTTTGTTATTTGTCCATAGATTAGACTTACTAATTCGATTAGAATATCTTATGTAAAAAAAATTCCTTTTGTTTAAGTGGAATAATTATTTTTCTGGTGCTTTTTTCCTTAATTTTGAAATGATTCAAAATAATGCTAATTTTTAGTTTGAAAGTATTCAGATAACTTTTAAAAGATTTAATAGAATATATAAGGTAGTATTTTACAATTAAACAATTATTTTCTTTTTCACTGCTTTTTGGTTGATAAATGAATCATGTATTTAGTTATAATC